GTTGTTTTTCCTTCCTTGCCTGCTGACCGGCCTCTGGCGATAGAAAATAAAACTTTTTGGTGCCTGAAAAGTTTTTTTTCCTTCCTTGCCTGCTGACCGGCCTCTGGCGATAGAAAATAAAACTTTTTGGGGACTGAAAAGTTTTTTTTCCTTCCTTGCCTGCTGACCGGCCTCTAGCGATAGAAAATAAAACTTTTTGGGGCCTGATTTTTTTTTTTCCTTCCTTGCCTGCTGACCGGCCTCTGGCGATAGAAAATAAAACTTTTTGGGGCCTGAAAAGTTTTTTTTCTTTCCTTGCCTGCTGACCGGCCTCTGGCGATAGAAAATAAAACTTTTTGGGGCCTGAAAAGTTTTTTTTCCTTCCTTGCCTGCTGACCGGCCTCTGGCAATAGAAAATAAAACTTTTTGGGGCCTGAAAAGTTTTTTGTCCTTCCTTGCCTGCTGACCGGCCTCTGGCGATAGAAGATAAAACTTTTCTAGCCAAGCCCAAGCATGCAACAGAACCAATGCAAGGCTACCTCGCCGAGGTCGGCTAATTGTGATGAGCAAATTAAGGGCTGACCTCGCTAATTCCTGCAACCTGCCTCGTTGCCTCGGCTGTCCTCGCTATAATTTGTGCATATATATTAATATATATATATATATTATTATAATATATATATATAATATAATAAAATAAAATATAATTTAATATAATAAAATATAATATAATATAAAATATAATATAATATAATATAATATAAAATATAATATAATATAATATAATATATATATATATATATCAGTTGTAAGAGGGCCTACACTCCATTTGCTAAGCATGTACCTTATCTTCAGGTTCCATTATCAAGTTCTTTAAAATCACATATGTCTAGGCTGAATCGTTTCATGCAACTAGAACTGGCAGCCAATGGCCACATCCATATGTTGAAACCGTGATCATTTCCAATAAAAAACACACCGTCAACCCAAGTTAGCTTAGTTTCACCCTATTGAACTGTACTTATCTCCCACCTAAACCCATGAATTCTGCTTCCTAATTTAGCATGTCTTGCTCTTCCGTTAGGTTGCGGTGTACAACCTTGGCATATCGACAAATTTCGCGCCGAAGATACTGTTGGGCGTGGTTTGCACACAGCGTACGCCCTTTGACCATCAGTTTGTGGCATTGACCTCCTGGCCATGGTGGTGACAGCTGAAAGTCATGGGCCGCAGCCAAAAGGTAGCCAAGAAGGGGCCAATCAGGCTGCAAACTGCCACAAAAAGTGGATGGTAAGCTGAAGCTGCCAATTGGAAAATGGCAAAATCATCGTTCAGAAGCCGGTTCAAACTGCCAACTCAGGGTTCGAAATCCTGTCTATAAATATATATATATATAATATGCATAAATATATATATATATATATAACCCCACTGTATTCCTATTGAATCCCATAAAAATCAGCATTTCGCTTCTTTATAGGTCCTTATTTTTGCTGGTGAAATCCAATCTTTCGTTGGTTGAAGCGGTTAAACACCCACCGCACTAGTGCGGCACCTTGGCCCTTGTTCCAGGTTCGAGCTTGGCAGCGCGTGTCATCGATCTCTTTTGGGGTGAAGGGTTTCCTCGACGACCGAGACATGGGATGTCTGAAGGGCTTCGCCGTTTTTAGCGCACGTGAAGTAGCCCGAAGCTAGTTGATCTTCAAGAAATACGTGGTTCCTGATTTTAAGTATTCCCCAAAGATGTGAAACAAACGTAAGATATTCCAAAACATGGAAGCAAATAGAACCAACAATATGGGGGCTTATATGTTCTTACCTGAGGGGTTGTAACACCCTAACTATTTCTTCGAAGTAACTGTTCACACTGAAGTCCACGCTACGAAAGAAGACTCGGACCAGTTGACTCCCCCCCCGAAAGAATAAATATGCACAGTGCCTGAATCCATAATTTGTCCAGAAAAAACTGTGCACTTTATCCTTTCATTGTAAGTGCTTTTGTACATGCTTACCCTGATGGTCAAGTAGCAAAATCACAAGATAGAACACATAATATATATACATACAAATACATATAAATATAAAAATATATATATATGTGATATGTAAATAAATATATATATATAGGTTACATACATACATCTATATATATATATATATATATTTATTAAGGTAATTAAGGTACCCTCCGGTAATCAAACATGCTTTGATGCGCTTTACCCCCCAATTAGTTCGATCATTTTCCTAGCCATACCCCCCCTGTGCCGCCAGTGCCGCCATGGGGCCACTCCCAGTCGCTTCCAGACGTCATCCATGGAGACCAGGAAAACACCACTGGTTTCTCGCCAAGTTAAAAGTGGATGAGTTGGCGCAAATATCATTTTGTTATTAATCATTATTAACCATTGTTAACCATTGTTAGTGTATATTTAAATATATATATATAAATAATTATATATAAATATCATATATTAAATCATAATGATTACCCATCAATATATACCATATCTGGTTGGTGGTTGAGCCTACCCCTCTGAAAAACGATGGACTTCGTCAATTGGGATGATGACATTCCCAGTATATGGAAGAAAAACTGTTCCAAACCACCAACCAGCATTTTAGCATCCCTCGTGCTTGTTATACAACTATGGCTGGTCGCGTGGGCAATTTTTGTACAAAACGTCGGGCGTGACAACTGCAATTGCTGGAATACAAAGTCAAAAAGGAACAGCCCTTGACACTTGTGCCATTCATCAAAACTTCATGGCTGAAAGTCATTTAGATTTTTTCCTCTCAACTACGCAATAAAGACCAACTCTAGAAGTGAATTTGTGTAATATGTTGTACTATGTGTCTATGTACACTGTAACCATACGTCTGTCACCGTGCGTCTTTCTGTCTGTCTATCCATCTACCTAATCTACTCTAATGTAAGACTTGATTTTGCAAATTTAAAAGGGATGAAGGCTCTTCTGCAAAGCAGCCTTGAAAGCCATGTGCCAGCGGAACAGCACAAACCCAGACCCTGGATATGGCCGGAAACTTCTTGGGTGGGTCCATAGGGAGATCACAAGTCCCTGTAGATAAAGACCGGTATACCTTTTGGCACCTTATAATTCTGTATCATCTTGTGCCCCTTTTGTTCCTTGCTCTCATTATGAGAGTATGAGGGAGACTTGCTTGAAATCATTGCAACTAAGCTCAACTGGCCCCATTTCAACGGTATATCTGTTATAATCATAACAACTAATATGTATATATATATATGTATAGTCACAGGGTATCGCACACCTCGGGTTGGTAGGCTGGTCAGGTTGGTATAGGCACTATGATGTACTATGTCCCCCCCGAAAGAAAAGAAACACGTGTATCCCAAAAATAGACACATATCCAATCTTATTTGTCACCATTTTGGAAGGATACTGCTTTGCCACCTTTCTTGTGAAAGTTGCTGTATCAGTCCCCACATTCGTTGTTTAAAAATCCTGCATCTGAGCGGTAAGCATCACCTTTTGCGGGCTTAACCATGGGTCGCGCAACATTTAACCTCCATCTTTCATCATTGATGGGGAACTATAGAAACTGCGATAAGACTCTCATGAAGTAATACCAACAAATAGAAGCAAAGTGTGATCACCATTTGACCATGTTGAAACATCATCTCGTTTCAGCCGTGTTGAAAACATTTGAAACCCTGTGTCGTCCATGCGCATTGGTTGGTATCATCCCCTACGGTCCTCAACAGGAGTTTTGAACATGATATGATGATTGGGTGGGTACATATCCCATTAATTATATTAATTTCCATGAATGAATTATAGTTATACATAGTTATACAATATATAATATATCATTGTTAGAAAGGCTTCTCATATAACCAGTTCTTCTCAAACAGAAATTTCCAGACTCTTCGGCCCAGCCCAGTCATCACACCTCGTTCCACCAGTAAAAGGCGGATCTTAAGTCATGCTTTTCCGCCATCAGCACGGCCAAGTTGCTTTGGACCTTGAGAAAAATGCTGGTTTTACATGGTTTTACCAGCAGGAAAACTGTGGAAAAATAGGACTTCAAAGTGAGGACACTGGGTGGTTTAGCCGTTTAGCCACAAGTTTGGGATTTAAACATCAACCATTGGGATTTCTCCCACAAAGTGATTCGGGTGTATCAGGAATGACCGTTTAGCCATCAAAAGTTGCGTCTAGAGTCTAAAGCAGTAAATGATGGAATACATGAGGTTTGAACTGATTCAACCAATTACCTTCAGGTAAACTAAAGCAACTACGGAAAATCACCATTCTTCATGGGTAAATCAACTATAAATGGCCATGTTCAATAGCTATGTTAGTTTACCAAAGGGTAAAAAATAGCGATGTGTAATGATGTGTGGCAAGAAATGCTGGTTCCATTGGGGCCGCGAAAACCCCCGTGGATGCGGGCCACTAAAAAAGATTGCGTGAACACATAGTTGTTGCAATCGCAACCATCATTTATAGACCTATATGCCCAAATGAATTATTGCAGAATGGACCTATAAATACATAGAACATCATAGACCTTTAAATAATTGTAAATCATTAGAAATCATCACCTATAGTATACACATATATATATATAATTAAATAATAATAATACAAATAATACTCTCCACGCTAGACCTATAAACTTGTAATCTACAGTATCACGTTGGCCTTGGCAAGGCCGCACTCCTCCGCTGCACGCTGCCAAGTTTTCATGCTCACGCAAGCGTGACGTTGCGTCTAAGCAGTGTCAACAGCCTAATGAAAAATCACTTATAATTGCATCATATTGTCTCTATATATATAGGGGTTCTTTATTCTAAAATGTTCTATATATAATGAATCTATATGACTCGCTGTTGGATTAGGAAAAACACACAATATACTTCGTAGTATAATCACCAACGGAACACAATTTTATACGCTGTCTGGATTATATCTTGATTTTCATGGTTAACACACCCATAGATGATGATTAAATCCTGTTATAGAACAAATCAACCCGTTTTTTTGAAGCCAACTGTTTTTTTGTTGACACTGCTCATCTGAATCCGTTCAATCTGAGAAAATGCGTCTAGACTCCTGCTGGGACAGAAGCAGGGGTGACATTTCGGATACCTCAACATGGCAATCTTAAGACAGAAAAAAATACAATAAAACATGACAAACAAAAACAAAAATAAGTGAATGAATCAAACAATAACATGCAATGAATGTTCAGACAACCGCACACCCGTGGGCAGAAAAAAAACAGCGATAATGGACGCGAGTATCAGAACATGTACTGCATACAATAATACAACATCCATGCTGAGAGACTATATGGTTGGAGCGTGATTCAAAGGGAAATCAACAATATGTATAGCTGCATGGAAGAAGAAACTTCGAACTGATTCCCTGCACAAAATCCTGACAAATCACTAGCAAGCCATTCACCAAGAAAAAACGTGGCACCTTCCAGTTTTGTCCATGCACTTTAGGCTTCTTAAGTGACTATTTCGAGGGTTTGTCATGACATGTTGTGAGCTCCTGGGAGAAGCTCTGAATGTCCTAGTAAGTCTGACAAAATGGTACGCATTACCCATAACATTAGATGGGGCAACATATTGGATAATAATTCTGATAAACATATTTTTGGATTGCATAATATGTACCCATAATCTTTCCATATTACATAATCCAATGGACAAAACATGAACCGGCTTTCCCCATGGAACTTCCATTTGTGCTAGAGGGCTGCTATACCCATCACGCTTGCAGAAAGTCGCCTGTCCACCCGTCCACGTCCACCAGAAAATTCGGGGTACCCTCCGGTAAACATACAAAAAACTATTGAACATGGCCATAGACATAGTGGATTTACCCGTGAAAAATTGTGATTTTCCATAGTTCCGTGGTCCCAGTCAGTCTCCTTGCACCGAGGTCGATCTTCTCCTGGCGTTTTTCGGTGGTCGGTTCCGGCATGGGCATCCCCACTGATGCCATGGCCAAAAACTGAACGTGGCTCTCAAAATGCCTTGGAACAATTCGCACATGGAGGATATTAACCCCTAATTACATATATATATATATGGGGATGGGTCAAAACCCTGGTACCTAGTGAACCCCAAAATAGCTGGTAAATGGATGTTCATCCCACTAAAAATGGTACTTATAGGTATTGACCCATACCCATATATATATATATATATTATCTGGTTGGTGGTGCAATAACCATCCTGAAAAATGATGGAGTTCGTCAATGGGAAGGATGACATCCCATATATGAAATGGGAAAATAATCCAAATGTTTGAAACCACCAACCAGTTATATATGACAACATATATGTATATGTACATGTACGTGAGTATGTTGTTCCTGATGTGACGTTGATGTTCATATTCCAGTGTCCCGTGTTTTCATTGGCTGATTAAAGTCATACACCTTCAGATTTGTGGCCGGTTGCACGGCTCTGGGAAAAAAAAGGTAACAAAAACACCAAAAGAGAAAGGATGCGTAGGGATCGGGGTGCCCTTTGCAACCCCAAGTTTCACCAAGTAGAAAAAAACTGGAAACCCGAAAATTCTGACGCGAAGATCACATGTCCTTTATTTTGTATAGGATGGATCAACCTTTTGCTCTGTACCACGCCAACGCGCCGGCGGAGCCTTCTCTTTCGCCAGGAAAGACTGGGCCATGGTGGGGTCTTGGGCTACCAAAGGTACTCCCCCAACCAACAAGGCCGCTATCCTTTGGGGTTCCATGCCTGATTAGAGTCCGCTTATCACCAGCGTTCCAAGCTACTTTACTATATATATTGGGGTGAACCACCAAGTAGAGTTGGTGCACTTCAAAAACCATGGTTTGTGCACTTTTAAAACCATACCATTTTACAAAACCATATAGAACACATACATGATGGTGGGAAACTGTATTGCCTCACACAACTGCTTACCCAGTACACATGAATGTACTATGCGGATTTTGTTAATCACAATGGAAAATCACCACTTGAAAAGTATGTTGTTTTTTTACTAGGCCATACCATAGCAAAGTGTAACAATTTTACCAAATGGTGTACCTCTACCTTCGGATTCTCATGACATCTCACGGCTACTCACCTCCATCCGCGGGGTTCGCCAGTGACTGCCTTCCTTGTTTTAACACTAAAAATTGCCCCTCAAAAACCAAGAACATTTTAACACAAAATTTAGTGTTAAAACACTTTTTAAATGAAATTCTATGTTTGTTCAAATTTGTTTGTTTGTTTTAACACAAATTTTACTTTTTTCAAAGACCAACAAAACAAAGGTCCGCTGATTCAGCTCAAAATGGTGAGCCCTTTGGGCATATCTCAAAATCAGGTACCCCAAAACTCCCAAACTGGCTTAAAGCCTTGTTTTTCCCACTAGAACAAAACCCAAAATTGTCATTCGCATTGCCGTTTTGGGTTACTTCCCACTTTGAGACAAACCTATCAGTTCTTGGTTCATACCCTGATTCTCAGTTATCAAAAACCCTTGCTTATACTATTGGTGCGTGAAACTTCCTATTGTTTGAGAACATTTATTGAACATCACCAGTTGGTCTTCCCATCACATCAATTTGGTGAACCCGCTCGTTTTCGAGGATTCAACCCAACCCGTTGAACACTTGTCTTTGAATGGTTCAACCCCAATTTGGAATGCTACGTTAAATGAAAATAAGAAACCCATATTGGCCCCATACGGCCCGATGCCGCTGTTCAGCTTCCGAGCAGCAGAGTCGTCCGTTTCCATCCATGTGCAGATCTTTGGCCTTGGGCATCCCATGGCTGCGAAAAATCAAGGCAAACCGTGAAGATGTATAGACTAATCCATGAATTTTGAGCATAAATGCATACACATGTGAATATGTGTATATAAATATATATATATATGAAAGTGTGTTATATATATATATATTTATGACATATGAATACATATTAATATGTAACAGTTTATGTGTATATAGATATACATATATATATACATGAATGTATACAAATGCAAACATGAATACTCATGTATGTGTATATAAAAATATATACATGAATACAACTATATAAGATTATAAAAGAATAGATGACATAGATGTATGCTTGTCTATTTGTATTTATACATATATATATATATATATATGTGTGCTACCCCCCCCCAGAAATACCCCCCAAATGCTACCACCAGATGATTGAGCACATGTCGAGAGGAAGAAGGACAAGACGATTTCCCTTGGAGATGAGCACATGTGCATAGAGGAAGAAGGACAAGACGATTTCCCTGAGATGAGCACATGTGCATAGAGGAAAAGGACAAGACGATTGTCATTGAAAATGGCAAGAGGTATAGGTTGATGGCGAAGCTGTCGAGGCTACCTTCGATCGAATTGATGTTACCAGAGATGTCACCTATAGGATGATGTGGCAAAAGGAAAGCCTATTTTTGCAGCGCATGGAGGCAAGCTGTCATTTTTTGTTCCCCAAGAGCCACACGCGCTAATGTTCTATTTTTTGCACAAGTACTCAGTCATGTGCTTCGTGACCAAGTGTCCTGTACACACCCAAAGATCGTGGCCGCGAAACCAGTATTCATACTGCGCGGCTCGAATGCGTGCGGGAATTGCCTTGGTGGCGGCTTTCACTTGCTGGTTGCGACGCACCCTCTTCTTTAGAAAACGCCACGCTCTGTCAATGTGCTGTGTGCCAGATTTGACCTTCAAAATCTTTCCCTTGGCGACTTTGTGAGTGGTCACGCGCACATACTGAGGGGCAGCACAAGTGACCTTGCCACGGATAATCCGCTTCTTTTTGCAATGAACAACTGCATCATGTAGCACGCCGCTGACCTTGGTCCAATAATTGGCAGAGTCAGCGTGCAAAATGAGTTTGCGATCGGCAAGATGCTTCTGGGCCAATGGGGTCCAGTCCACCTTGTGGATTGGACCAGGTGCTGTTTTGACGGACAGGGGTAAGGCATGTCAAAACCAAGGTCTTTGGATTGCCGCGCGCAAGTATGCCACACCACTGCTCCCAAAGAATAGGTTTTCCTTTGACAACAGAATCCTTGTAGGTGACATCTCTGGTTACATCAGCACGATCGAATGTAGCTTCATCTGCTTCGACATCCATCCACTTTTTCCCATCTCCAAAGATGATCTTCTGTTCTTCTTCCTGCACATAGGACTGCCGAAGAACCTGGAGCCGACTGGACATGCCCTCGATCATTCTGTGGTTCACTTGCAAAAGCAACCTGCACTGGGCATGAGACGCACCAGTGAGAAGCAGAAGAAAAAGAGCAGCCTGAACTTGTAGAGGTTGATGTTGCTTTACTTTGGAGACCTGGAAGAGAGGAT